CCGGACGCTGATCACACAGAAGCTCATCAACCTGGAAATCGAGGCCGTTTATGGCTCCAAGGTCAACGCCGACCTGCCCCCCGTCCTCCAGGTACGAATCAATTGGAGGGCACCTGCACACTCTTTTGCAGCGTGCGCCCACGCGCACGCGTTGTGCTTCGAAGCCTCGTGCACTCGCGTCCAGCACATGAACTTGTCGTTCTTCTCATCCCTCCTCCTAACCGCCATTCTTGCCGGTCGAAACATCAGGCCGATCCTCTTCATCGCTGCATTGGTGCCCTGGTCTACGGCTGCCGCCTTGTTATCATTCCAGCGCATGCTCTCCAGCCACGGTGTGTAACATGAAAATGTGCACGGCTGATCATTATTGTTGTGATATCTCAAAGAACGGATTTTTGTTCCTTCCTTCCACCTCCAACTGTTTTTGTGCAGGACAAATGTGCAATTTCGCGTGATTGATCTAGAGGTGGGTGGTTCATGCCTTCGCATTTTGCAGACCACCACAGAGCTTTTCTCGAGAAGCACAAGCGGTCTCTTTATCCTCTCTGCTCTCGGTCTCATCATCGAATTTTGTAATGATTTGGGTTGCGGCTTTGATGTAGAAACTCTCATCGCCCCTGGGTCAAGCCAAGAGCTTTTGTTTTCTGACGGGCTATACCACGCCCACAGCGTTGCTTCTGCATGAACCGCGCCCTGTTTGGGTTGGGTACGTTGCGCATCTCCATTGCTTGCATGTCCAACCATGATGTGCGTCAGCTCACTGCCCCACTTTGCAATGCGCCTACAAAGACGGCATGCAGTGGGTCGAGATAGCTGTGTCTTGTCTGCCTTGAGCTGTGAACTGGACACAACAGATGACTTTGCACCCACCGTTTGGGCTAAAGATAGTCTACCATCCGACTGCTTTGGTAGGCTAAGCTAACACCGCCTGCATTATAAACCCCATCTGCTTTTCTCAGCCTGTCGTCATTCGGCTGCTATTTCCACAGCTTTGGTGCCCACCCCGCAGCCATTAGGCGGCGCTTTGATCGTGTCACCCAACATGGTCTTGCATACGAATCAGGTATGTCGGGTCGTTAGAGACACCCTTCATAATATAAACTGTGTCCTCTGCGATGTGGCACACAGGGGCGACTTTTGTGATGCTCGGGGGTTTTTTTTTGGTGTTAAATCATGATAGGCAAGCAGCAGCGCTGTTGCCGTCAATGCCATTGCAGCCCGCGCCACTGGCTATCCACACACCACGCAGGTTGGTGATATTTCCTGCTGCTGCAGCTTGGCGAGGCAGCTTCTTCGGCCTGATGCTCGCTCCACGTCTTTGGGAGTCTCGATTCGAATCTGCTTGACCGACACCATTGTCTCCTAGGCGGGCTTGAGCCTGAATCTTGACAACGCCCGTGTGACGTTCATCACGAGCGTTGACGCCATTTTCTCTCTTCAGTCTGGTCAACTCTATCGCATCGGCTTGGTACGCCTCATCGTTCCCTTGCCCATCAATTTTCCTTTTATCCCTGGTTGACAGCTCCGCTGGTCCCTTCCGTCATTCTAATAATTGTCTTGCAATCGTCTTTGCTCACTTCATCCTCCAGCAAAGCGAAGGGCGCATGGTGCGCAATTTTGTCTTTCAAGATCTGGGCACAGCAACTTTGCCCGCTTGCATCACATCCTGGGGCACAGACTTGGTCTTTGTTGGCACTCGCACTGGCCTGTTAGTAGTGCTCCTGCGTGCTTCCGCACCGCTCATTGCATTATCTAGCTGATGTCCAACTCGACTATCCTCTCGTCTGCGTAGTGACTCCGTGCTGCTGGGCATGGCACCTGAGCAGAGGTCCGACGACGGCACACCGGCCCCAAAGCGCCCTCACAAGGCTGTTGCATCCCGGTGCGTTGTGACCTGCTTCGCCACCCCCCTCTTTTCTCGACTACAGCACTCATTGGCCAGTGTTGCTCACTTTCTTGCGTTTGGCATTGCAGCTCTACCGAAGACTTGGATATCTATGGCGCTGATCTGCATCATCGTGGCCAAGGACAGCGAAACTACATGGTCCATGTGCTTGATCGCTTACCCAATCTGGCCCCAGTCTTGGCCATCACCCCCGTGCGTGAGCTCTGACATTTGCCGTCAATATTGCAGCCACTTGTGCCACTTTTGCCACGCATGCACCCTCGGCGCCCCCCCTCATTCTGGTCGCTCTGTGCGTTGGGATCAGGCTTTGCCAGCTTCCGTGTCAGTTGAAGATGGGTTGCATGGACGACCGCCGATTGATACTCTTGTTACAGCTGGGCGGGATGATCATGCCAGTTTGGCGCAACTCTATAACGGGTTTCGACCCAAGGTGTGTTGCAGAATAGACGCACGGTTCTGATTGCTCAAACCCTTGGTCTGAGCCAGCATCTCGTCTTTGTTTGGGACGTTTGAGCAAAGTCATCACCGTTCATTGTTTTCAGGTGCAACTGAGTACACAAGAGTTTTCCAAGACGCGCGACGTGTGGGCTTTACATGTCCCTGTCAAGGGTAATCGGAGTGGTGAGCTGAATTGTCATGTTGTGAAGCGTGCCTTGCCCAGCCATATCTGTATTCAGGATTCTCGGCCTCGGTTCTTCTTTCCAGCGTGTCTTCTGTTGTCCAACTGTTTCACATGCTTTCTCTCATGATTCGGGTCGCAGATGCTGCCGACAAGGGGTCCCGTCGCTCGCATGGGGCCCTCATTCTATCACAGGTGAGTGCGATCGTTCAGCCTTTTGTGTTGCCAGCTCGGCTTCACCGGGCCTTATCTGCGCGGCATGTGTCTATGCTTGTCGTCATAGTCGTCTGGAACGGGCGTCCTGGCAATCCGCAATGGCCTGAAAACGTCACCGATCAACAGACTGGTGTGTAGCGTCAGCCCACCTCCCGTGTGCTTCAATTGTGTCTCCTTTCGGCTCTCTTGCCACGTTTCTTGTCCTCGTATCACCTTTAAGCAAAGGGGTAGTCCGCGCCTGGCACTCATTCTTGACATTTAATCAATGGTAGCCTTTTCTACGTCTTATCGTACAGTGCTTGCGGCCAACATGCAAGGGTAAAGCACGCCTCGCCACCATTGTCAAGACAGCTGACCTTTGTCTTGCCATCTCGCTTGGCCTGTACTTTGGCAAATATCTTACGTTGATTTGGTCGTCGTCATGTTGCTTCGCATTCCGATCATCAGGTCCAACTTTATCTTGCAGGTCACCAGTCGAGCTCTCTTTCTGACCCGCGGCTTTGAACGGGTATGTACACTTCTTTCTGCTCTGAAGTTTTTCGATTCCTTACCACTGGCCACCCAGTACCGCATACTCCTCACCACGAGCACCGTGCACTTTGGACCACGCTGTGTACTATATCCCTCGACTCATCTTGTTTTTTGGCCTTGGGAAAATGTCAGCTGGCAGAAATTCGCGTGCCCGGTGGGCAGAAGATTCGTAGCGCCAGTGTGGCCGACCCGTTCGTCATGACGCTCATGAGTGACCACTCGGTTCACGTTGGTCTTGTTTCGCTTGTTCTGACACCATTTGCCATCTTCATCTCTTTTTCCACTTTTGCTTTTGATTCACCTTCGCAATCATTGCTTGGCAAACTTACAATCTCACATCAATGGGGGCTCTACAGATGTTTGTGCTCAACCCAGTCACAAAGACGTTGGACCATATTGAGTGCACGCCGTGCTGGCAAGGTCGGCCCCTTTGCAGGACGCTATTGCTGGCCAAGTGTTGAAATCAAATTTTGAAGACACAGCCATCTCATTTCATTCTCTGGCTCATGTGTCCATGTTTAGGTGTGGTGAAATCAATCACCTTGTGCCAAGATGTCAGTCGCATCTTACATCTTCACTCAGGTGAGAGTTTTGAAAAGCGCAGCAAGCACGGTCTATATGTGCAAGGCACCGACTCAGTGAGCTCTGTTTGCTCTGGCAGCTGCGTTGCTTGATGAACTTAAGAATGAGAGTGAGCAACGGCTTGAGTCTGCTTCAACGGCCACCCAATCAAGTGCGGTTGTAGAGGCAACACCAAACTCAACAGAGGTTGAAGGGGCCACTGCTCAGCCGGCAACCCGTGGCATGCTCGTGGCCGACGATGAAGACGATTTCCTGTATGGCGAGGCTGAAGCGGAGCCAGACACAAAAACGACCATGCCTACGCCCACGCCAACTGTCTCCAAGCCAGGCCAAAATGTAGCACCGTCACAGGTAGTCGCTTGGCTCATAGATCAACTTTTGTTGCTTGATCTGAGCACGCACTATGACTGACGCAAGTTTCTCACCAAAACATGGGGTTTGCTGCCTGCTAGACTATGGCGGAAAGCGCAACATACGGAATTTTTGATGCTGCTGAGCTCGGTCCTAGCGTTGCAACCAGCGATGACTATGCGGCACCAACTTACTGGGCCTTGATCACTACTGAAAGTGGTGCACTTTATATTTGCACGGTGAGAGAAGCGGCTTGCTTTGTTCAAGATGCCCTTTCGCCAAGCCATTGCTCTCACTTTTGTGTGACCTTCTTTCTGACAGGTCCCCGATTTGAAGATCGCATTCCACTGTCCCTCCTTTGGAGACGGCCATTCGCTCGTGTGGGATCGCTTGCCCAACCAGGCCATCCCTCAAGCTGGCGATGGCGCGGATGCGCCGGACGAGGCTAGGAACGACGACGATGCACACGGCAGCGAGGAATACATAGTTGAAACTTTATTGATTGGGCTGGGTCAAGGGCAACGACCTCATCTCTTAGCTCGAACGGTATGCTGCTTGGCACACCCCATTCTTGTTTGAAGCCGTCCATACCTCACCATTTTTTTGATGTTCATCGCTCTCAATCACAGAGCGATCATCATCTATTGATGTACGAGGTGTTTCCGGTCGTTCCCTCGGTCACGGAGGCGGTGCGTGGTTATGATTGGGCGGCATTGCTTGACTTCTTTTGTTGTTTGGTGTGTGCGAGTGTCTGTGGCCCATGTTGAAGGTGCTCACCGTCACGCTGGTGCAGGCGGCGACCGTAGGACGGCTCAGTGTGCGATTGCGCAAGATACATCAAGCTCCTCTTTGTCTTTTTGAGGAAGACATCAGCCAGGTTCAGACTTTGGCCGAGCACGACCGGGGTCTATCGTCTTAACTGGCTCACAATGGCCTTGCATGAAACTGTAGAGTGTGCGGCGCCTCAAGCCCTTTCAAAACATTGCAGGATGCGACGGCGTTTGTGTCACCGGCCCACGCCCCCTTCTAGTTGCTTGTGGGCATCAACTCAAGGTGTGAAGCTGACAAACTTGCTCTGCCTGTACTGTCACAAACTGAATTCAAGTTTGCTCACGCATGTTTTGGCTTGCACCGGGCCGTCGAACATTCGACCGGGTAAGGCCATCACCATCGTGCCGCTGGCCTTGGAGGATGCAGTCAAGACCTTTCATCCTCTGCACATGGATGATGTTGAAAACGGCTTTATTTACTTTACAAAAGCGGTCAGTCAGCATCAGCCCGGACTCTTGTTGGGCATGCAGTGTGATGGGATTCCCACTGTCTCTGCTTTTTTTGACCCTACTCAAAACTGCTCTTCTGTGATCTCATGGTCGAATTGACTGGACTGGTGTGAATCATTCACGGCCAATCTACTCCAGGGAACGTTGTGCTGTGCCACGGCTCCAGATGGTCTCATGTTAAACCGTGGCGTTTTGGCACGTCGGGCGGTGCTGGGTCGTACCATCCAAAAGGTACGGGAAGCTGCGCCAGCTGGGATGATGTCATGATGGCATACGCTTACGTTTCTGTCATGCTTGACCACCGACTCCCCAAGATCGCTTTTGATCTCGACAGCCGTTTGGCGGCGCTGCTCTTGATGGAGCCGGTATGTTACGAAGAAGGTGGCGTTCTCTCGTACAAGGCGTGAGACATTGCCTTCCCTTAATTACATTTCTTGCCATGCATCAGCGGCCGGAGCTCAAGCCGTCTCGCGGCAACAACGATCCCCCCTCCAACGAGCTTCCCAACATTTCTTACCGTGCGTATCTTCTCCAGACAAAACCCTCCATGTGCAGATTCACGCTTTTTGTGCCTCACAGCTGTCATGTATCCCATTGTAATAGGGCCGGATGAACCCAAAGCCCTGACTCCCTTTTTTCAACTGCAGCTTTTGTCGCCCAAATCCATGAAGCTTCTTCCAGACACTCGGTTCGACCCATGCCCGGTCGCGAGCAGCCTGTTCTGCCAACTTGGGCAAGTAGCGCTCTATCTCATGCTTGCACCTGCCCTTCAGTATTGAATATGATTTGCATCACCACGTGACCTCCTTTGCGGCCGTGCGCCTATCTTCAAGCTTGAACAGCACCGGCAAACAGGTTTGTCTTTCTGCCTGTTCCACCCGGGCTCTGGGTGATTTTGTCGGCTCAAAGGTGTGAGCTGAATACACTGTGGCCCGTTTCCTTACTTCATATGTCCTGGATAGAATTACATTGCAGTCGGTGTGACATTGCTGGAAGGTCAACGCGCCACCACAACGGGCTTTGTACGCTTCAAATCCCAGGCTGCGTTTGCGGATTTCTTTCTCACATCTAGAGCTGGCATTGTGCTAATGCTGGTGGGCACCAAAATCTTATAGGTGGACTTTTACACTGTGGATGTGCATGATGGCAAGGAAACTCGCCTCGAGGTGAGACATCCAATCTCAAACGGCACTTGGGACTTGGCGACATGTGGGCAAAACACCACAGGACGTTTTTAAGCATCTTCATCACATTGGTGCATGGTGATCTAGAAACGAGCCAGCTGCAAGCAGCCTGGGTGTGTGTCGGCCATGGATTGTACCGAGGATGGCTTTCTTGTAGCAGCCGTGGGCCAGCGCTTGGGGTCCAAGGTACGCCACTCAGCCTGTGTGGTCATTTGGCGCTGCAGTCGTGGTGCAAGCAAATCCTTCAACTCGTGTCCAAGTTTAATTTCATGCCGCTGCTGCCAATGTAGATTTACGTATGGAACTTTCAAGACGGGCAGGAATTGCAACCTTTGGCGTACTTTGAAGCCGGGGTGAGAACCTGCTGACCGTTGGGGACCGTACTACCTGTAGAATCTGACACGCGAATAACTTTTGCGCATCTTTCCGGTAGATCTACACCTCATGTATCCGAGTCATTAAGAATCTGGCCATTGTTGGAGACTACGAGTCGGGCGTCCAGTTACTGCGATTTTCCAGGGTTAGTTTGCCGTGTTTCGGCATTGCGGGCTGCAACATTTGCCCATCGCTTGACCACCTGCCAAACTCAAAAAGTCTTTGCATATGGTAATTGGCGTGTCATCTCGTGCCCGGTTTAGCAAAAAGGCCTGCAGCAAATGCCGGTATTTCGAGGCACCAAGCACCGCTTTTATTCCTTGGTCAAAGTGGGCGCAGATCCTCACAAATCAAAGTATGTTGTTGGTTCATTTGCTTTCCTCGAATCCCGTCATCATCAGGGAGCGATCGACGTTGTTTCTCGTCTTGGAGTAGCCCGACTCGTTGTTGCATTTGTAGCTTCGTGTCCATACGTGGGCGTTTGTGTGACCGCCTTTTGTTTGGTTTTGGGTGCATAGTTGTTACTGCGCCGACTTTGTGGTTCGCGAAAGCGATTTGGCCATGATCTACGGTGATGCAGATGGCAACCTGGTTGCGCTGGACTACGATGCTGACAGTCAGTTTCGATGGTCTCGTGATGCACCTTGCGCCCAAGTTATTTGTGCGATACCGTGGCACGAGCTCAGTATGTGTGTTGGTATCATGGTATGTTCTGCGATCGCTCCCCGGGTTGCTGCAGGTCCTGACACGCGTGGCGGGCGCATTCTCGTGCGCTCTGCCAACTTTCACTTGGGCACGCGACTGAGCGCCATGTTGCGCTTGCAAGCGGCGCCCGTGGTGCGAGCACCGGGCGGATTGGCAGAAGCACAAAAGTGCCACGTTGTCCACACCTTTGGGATTGAGGGCCAGCAGGGCGTGGTGATCCCATTGCATGAGGCCGAGTATCGCCGCCTGGAGATGCTGCAGAAAAAGCTGGTGTCGCATTCGTCACTTGCGGGCCTGCATCCATTTCAATTTCGGTTTGTCAAGACGTTTTTTTTTTTTTCCTTAATTGCTTGGCATTGGCGTCGTGGGGCAGCGGCTATCCCATGGCATGTTCCCCGGTCATGTCAAGTAACTCATCAATGATTGCTGGGTGGTGTAGTGCCTTCAAATCATCCATCTGGCGACCCCGTTCATTTGCCCAAGGCATTTTGGATGGTGCTCTTCTTCGCCAATACTTTTGCTTGGGTCGGCGTGAACAGCTGGACGTTGCAGAGCAGCTTGGTGTCTCAGCCCAACAGCTGGAGCGAGACATGGCTCATGCCTTGGACGCGGCCTTTTATCTTTGAGCAGGCGCGCAGACCCCAGCAACAGTTGAAAATGCGCGGGCCGAGACGCGCAAGCCAGATTGCAATTGACTTGTGAGTCAATGATACTCTCGTTGTGGGGCATCAATTCTATCAGATCCATCATAAGATAGCAGAAACAAGCACATTATATATACGTATACACACACAAAAGGAGGACCCGGGCAGAGGGAGTGAGCGGTGACAATAGCACAAAACAGTTCAGCTCAGCAACTCTTTCACCCGGATCGTTGGTCGAGCTCTTTTTAGAGTTCCTTGTGAAGGCGTTCTTGGATGCGCTTTGTGCGGCGGTTTTGTTTCTCCTTTAGTTCAAGCTCTTGTTGGCGCAGGTAGTCGAGGTTGGCCTGGGCATCATCAAGCATGTCTTGGATAGCATCGCGATGCTTGTACATGTCGTCCTTCTCACCTGAGAACTTTTCGTAGTCGCGCTGCGTATTTGATCAACATGAATCCCTGAGGTGGTGGGGCCAACGCAGCGGTCAGTCCCAAAGCACTCTCTGCCTTGCAGTGACGAACCTTGACCGAGCTTTTCAAAGCTTCCGCGTCTTGGAGAAGCGATTGCTCCACACTCTGCGCTGTGTTGGGCCAGTCCTTCCGGCTGCGGCCGGCCGTCGCCGATGGGAGCAGCAAACCAAGAAGCAGCAGCAATAGCACAAAGGCAGTGCGCCAGTCACCACGAGCGCATGACCACATCCTGCTGATCGGTCGCCTTGTTTCTATACATTGTAAAGTATTATCGCAATGAGCGAGCGAGCGCGCGCGCGCGACACGAGAACTCGGAGACGAGCTCAACGCTCGCCTGATTCGGTCCTCGCACAGCTTCAAAAACGTTTCCAACTTCCCTCCCTTTCATCCCCAACGTACCCTGCAATGTGTACACTCACCTCAGTTCACGCCCGCATCCCACGCACACCAGTGAATGATGAATGCCGGTCACCTCAACGATCGGGAACGGCGCCGCCGTCGCGCTCGCCCGGCCACGTCGCTGACTCTTTGCTTGAAAGTTCTGACAACAAAAATAACAAATCTCACAACAATAACTTGAACAATTTAACACTAATCCATGTACAACTGCTTCAAAAAGTCAAATATACGCTGCATAAAACTGCCAAAGGACAGACGGAAGGAGAAGGGAAACTTTCATTTGGTACACACTGCAGCATTTCTCTCTCTCTCTCTCTCTCTCTCTCTCACTCTCTCTCTCTCTTCTCTCACACACACCACACACACACACTCTCTCTCTTCTTTCTCTTCTCTCTCTCTCTCTCTCTCTCTCTCTCTCTCTCTCTCTCTCTCTCTCTCTCTCTCTCTCTCTCTCTCTCTCTCTCTCTCTCTCTCTCTCTCTCTCTCTCTCTTTTTTTTTTCTTGCGCGCACGACGGCACGGCCCTGTCTTCCTCGTCGTTCTCAGTGGCTGGCCAGTTGCTTCGTGCGGTGAGACTAGGAGCGGGAAAGGAACGCACTGTAGGGACGATTAGGTGAGGGGCTTGAGTTACCAGGAAGGCCCTCATGGCGTCGCTCGCGGCCTATTTGGCCGCTAATTATGGCCCAAATGCGTCGGGTAAAGAGCCGGATGAGGGACGGCAGCGACGGAAGAAAAAAGTCAAGCGAGCGAAAGTCGTTCAAGGTCTCCGAATCCGAGATGCTGATGTGGATGCTCTGCCCTCTTCTGAGCGTCAAGTGATTGAAGATGATCCAGTCCTTGTGGACGAGCAGGGACGTGAGATTTCGTTGACAATCAACGAGCAGCAAATCTTGCAGAGCGAACACCTCGGGCCATCTGCTGCTTCGACGGCCGACGCCTCGCCACCACGCCGTCAGCGTCACGACAGCCCCGATGCCTCGCCACCGCGCCGTCAGCGTCACGACAGCCCCGATGCCTCGCCACCGCGCCGTCAGCGTCACGACAGCCCCGATGCCTCGCCACCGCGCCGTCAGCGTCACGACAGCCCCGACGCCTCGCCACCACGTCGTCAGCGTCACGACAGCCCCGACGCCTCGCCACCACGTCGTCAGCGCACCGGTGGCACGGACGCTTCACCACCACGACGCTCGCGAACAGCTAGCAAGCGGTCCGCTTCTCTCACAGATCAGAGCCACGAAGATGCGTCCCCACCCCGACGACGGGCCGCCAATACCTCCGACATTGAGGCCCAGCTCCAAAACCTAGCCGGTCTTCAAAATGCTGCTGCTTTACGTCAGGACCTAGAACTTCGTGCGGTGCGACCTTGCCTATCACCCAGACCTTGTTTTCGCGTGTTTTTCTCTATTCATCGTGACCATCTTCTCTCCCTGCTCTCCCCCCCCCTTTTTTTTTCCTTCCGGGGTACGCAGGCAGCAGAGCAGCGCATGCTAGATGCACTCGGGGATAGTGCTGGGCACGGTCAAGAGACCGTGCATCGTGATAAGAGGTATGTCAGTCAGATCTTCATGCCAATCTGTCTCCCAAGTTTCTTCGGCTCACTTGTTATGCTGCGACAGTGGTCGTCGACTTGATCCGAAGTTGGAGCGTCTGCGGAAGCGGGAGATGGAACAAAAACGAGAGGAGCTTGAGCAAGAACAAATGGAATGGGGCCGCGGGTGGGTTCATTGTCATGGCGCATCATTATTTTGCCTTTTGTTCAGCTCATTTGCCTTGCCCTTCGTACAGTCTGAAACAAACTCGAGATGCTCAGGATCGCCGCGCAGAAATCGAGCACGAGATGAGCAAGCCACTGGCTCGATCTCGCAATGACGAAGATCTTAATAAAGTCGGTTTGCAGCTTGTCCTCACCCATCGCTTCTCCTTGCCCCATACGCTGTCCTTTCCTGGCATCAGGCCTCCACAGGCTGCAGCATCTTCTGACTTTGTGTGCTTTGCATTCTCTGATCATTGAGCGCAGATGCAAAGAGATGAAATTAGGGCCGAGGATCCAATGGCGGCCTACATTATGAAGCAGCGTGAGCAAGCTTCGGGCAAGCCGTCACGTCCTCGCTATCGTGGCCCACCCGCGCCTCCAAATCGGTTTGGTATTGAGCCAGGTCTGTCATGTCACGCCCACCCCTTGTAGTTAATTTTACAAGGAGTGCACGTCAAGTGACCCTTGCTTTTTGCCAATTTATGCAGGCCATCGATGGGATGGACGAGACAGGTCGAATGGCTTCGAACAGCGCTGGTTTCAGACTAGAGCACGGGGCGCAGCAGTAGGCAAGGATGCCTACAAATGGTCCGTTGAGGACATGTAGCACAACTTACATAAATCGGCAAGCGGCTCTCTTGCTCAACGAGGCAACGCAGAATTGAAATGATGAAAACAAGCGACTGAAGCGCAGCTCGCTTCGCCAAGATATGCCGGCAGGAATGAAGCACAAGATATCGATTCTTTGATGCTCGAACATCTCAGGTGTACAACATAATACCATACAAGCTGTACATCCAGACACAAAGTAAGGCCCTGACTGGTTTCACGAGGCCTTCACAGCACACCTGACCGAACAAGTCATCATGCCAATTTCAAGCCCAAGGTTTTGGAGTTGAAATATTATATAGTATGCACACCCTCGCGCGTTGGGTCGCAAACGCAAGCTAAAAGTGACAGCATGCAAGTTCAGCACTGCCAAACCGTAACCAATACAAGGGAGGCCGGCAATCGTGCAGATCACACACCAAGTTGACAAGTCTCTCCGATCGAATGGACGGAAGAGTGTTGAGTTGACAGTCAAACAATATATGAACATCAAGCATGAAGCACACAGCCACAGACACAGACACAGCCACAGACATACAGATATGCACACTTTACAAAGCACCGACATACACCTGTACACGCGGCAAACACATCAGAGGCTTAGAGCCCTGTGGTCGGTTTGAGACGGTTAACGTGCGAGTACATCTCTTCCAGCTCCTCATCTATTGAGACAAAACAATGAACAAATGAGATGGTCGATTCGATGAGTGCAATGTGCGACAAAACTGTTCACACGGAATGAGTCTCGCAATCGACAAAACGCACGGGTTTTCTGGCGTTCAAGAGTGCTCATAGCAACAGATTCGGAAGTTTCAGAAGGTGCATTGCTGCCCTTGCGGCGATGCTTCTTCTTCTTCTTCTTTTTGTCGACACGAGCGGCAGAGACAGGCACCGGCTCTTTAAACCTAACAATAGTAAGTGAGGGGAAGGAGAGGGAAAAAAAAAAAAAAAAAAAGGGCGTGAATAAGAGCTAAGGAACAAGGGTTTGATGTCACAATGCAGATTTCAACAACAACAACAACAACAACTGTTGGAACATGAAGCACAAAAAACAAAAAACAAAACAAAAACAAAGCAAAACAAAAGATATTAATTGACGCACGTTACGGCATCTGGGTCCTCCGACGGCTCATCATCAATGTGCCCGGCTTCTTCGTCGAAATTAGCTTCGTCAAACTCCTCCTCTTGGTCACGATGGCGATGGGCAAAGGTATAATCCTCATCTTCACTATCCAAATCCTGCGCAGCGGCTTTAGCCTTGCGCGTAGCCATGCTATAATCATCCTCCTCATCTTCAGCAACAGGGGCCACGCCAGTGGAAGCAGATCGGGGGGCCACAGCATGCTTGGCTGTTGATCGACCCTGTCGAGCCATCGCATAGTCATCCTCATCGTCTTGGGCTTCCGAGCTCACGGGAGCCGGCATGCCTCGCGTCTTGGCGACGGCAGCTAGGCTCGATTTACGACGTGCCATAGCATAGTCTTCGTCCTCATCTTCCTCGTCAATGCCAGCGCTTCGTACAGGCACAGCAGCCGACTTGCCAGCGCGTAGCATGCTCGACTTTCGTCGCGCCATGGCATAATCGCCGTCGTCGTCGTCGTCGTCGTCTTCGACAACGTCATCATCACCACGACGGGCGCCTCCGCGTTGCATCAAGCTTGATTTGCGTCGTGCCATGGCATAAACGTCATCATCTTCGCCGCTGTCGCCATCGCGGTGATGAGACCCAGCTGACTTGACAAAGCGCCGGTTCGCCATCGCGTAGTCGTCATCGTCGTCGTCGTTGTTGACTTGGCGGTTTGCAAAAGTGTAATCATCCTCGTCAATACCAGCAGCTCGGACACCGTTGGCAAAGCCGTAGTCATCGTCATCAAAGTCCGCGCCCGCCGCTGCATTGCGATTTGCAAAGGCATAATCTTCCTCGTCATCAATGCCCGCCAAGCCATAGATATCGCCGCCTGCACCAGCCTTGCTACGGCGTCGACCCTGGCCCACGTCGCCAGCAAAGCTGTAGTCACCATCGCCATCAGCACCAGAGACACCACCGGCAAAGTTGTAATCGCCTTCGTCCGCATCTCCGGTGTCATACTTGACGCCACCGGCAAAGTTGTAATCGCCTTCTTCCGCGTCTCCGGTGTCATACTTGACTCGGCCAGCAAACTGATAATCCCCGTCACCAATGTCACCCATGTCATACTTGGCGGCAAACCCATAGTCACCGTGGTCATCATTGGCGGCTTGCTCGTATTTGACACTGCGGTGATCACCCTCAGTGTAAGCAGCATAGTCATGTTCTCCATCCGAGGCGTTGCCGTACAGGCCTGCAGTACCTTCGGGCATCTCCTCATACATGGGCGCTCCATTCTCATCGTAGCCCACGATGCGTGGCTGTAGATACTTGCGATCATCAGCATTCGGATCTGCGTAGGTATCGGAGCCAGGCCCACCCCGTCGATTCTCATCAAATAGGACATGGATACTGGGGCGCGAGCGCATGGTCTGCTCTTCCTTCTGCTTGCGCCGTCTCCATACCAGGGCAATTAACACAAGTGCCAAAATTATGAAAGCTGCAACGCCGATGACCACGCCAAGTCCCAGAGCTGACTGCATGAATGACTCATTTCCAGGTTGGTCACCCGTGGAAGATTGGAGAATGAGGATTTCGTGACAACTCTGGTTGCTATAGTTGTAGGTTGTCACAGAGCTGTTGGAGTCCACGCGAGGCGACGTGTAGGATCCCGACGTAGCGAAGCACATGAAGCTACCGGGCTGGGTCGCGTTTGTATCAACGATTACAACGACCTGTGCGGTCACCTGCGCAGTCGGTGCAAAGCTTGATACATTGACCGCCTCCTGCAGCTGAACGGTGTACGAGGCGTTGCCCGACACAGAGATGGCACCGAGCACTTCCTCAGCACGTACGACCGAACCACTTTCGTGAGTGACTGTGGCTGTAAAAGCCATGGTGCGCAGCCCGGATGTTGAGTTGACCTGCACAAAGTCGTGGGCGACGCGCACGATCGGGCGATAAAACACAAAAGATTGGCGCTGTGATGCCGATGAGTTGTCGCTTGCCGAGCCTGCGTCAAGGTAGAGCACCTGGCCATTGGGAAGATCAGCGTCAACAAGCTTGGCAGTAAATTCCACCACCAAGGTGTCGTTGCTCGAAATCACGTTGTCCGGAAAATTGGTCACTTCGCCGAAACGGAGAGTCAGCGTGTTGGCAGCCAAACTTTCGTTCACAGCTGCCCGTCGTCGGCGCGCGCCGGCAAAAAGATCAGAAGATGGGTCACTGCTGGCAGCGATGGTCATCAAGTTATCTTCCGACACATTGATCGTTGCCCCTGCGGCGCGTAGCTGCACGTCCACCAGAGCAAGATGTACCCGCCCGTCGACAACAGATGGCACGTGCGCCGTCACTTCGAGCCCGCTGGCACGCCCTTCAGGCAGCTCAATTGTCACATTCGTCGACACGGCTTGCCCCATCACCAAGCCATTGGCCGGGGCTGGGCTGGAGTCACTGAGAGGCGTGGCCAAAACAACGTCTGGCATCTCACGCGTTGCCACGGTGAGGGCGAGTGAGCGATGCGCAGTGCGCAATGGCACGCTGGGACGTGTGAAGTACGTCAAGTTGCAGCGCGCAGAAAACGTCGAGGCCAGCAGGATGGCATCAGACATGCGTACAGTGTAGCGAAGATCCAGGGTTTCACCCAAGTTGATGCGCGGCGTATTAAGTTGAACATCTTCCAACCCAGTGAAGGCCGCTATTGTGCCGCTCGGGCCATTCTCTGAGCTATTGGCAAAGTTGTCCACCGCTTGAAACTCCAGTGAGGCGTCCAGATTAGCACGCGTGACCACCACAAAAGCTGGCCACGTTGAAGTTGGAGCGTGTTCGATGTGATGCACTAGTTCATACAGATCACCCGCATCGCCAAGGGTAGATGCGGGGGACACTGTCCACGTATGCACGAGCTCGGGCGCAACCACGTTGATATCGGTTTCAAAATTCGACTCGAGATTCACAAACGTGACGGCGACAGCAAAGTCACCTGAAACTCCACTGTACGTCACGCTGTCATCATCTACCACCTGCACGACAATAGAAACCTGCAAGTCGTCCTCTGTGCCCACGTGCACGCTCTCAACAATGTTCTGAATGGCGCCAATGTCCAGGGTTACAATGCCATTTTCCTCCACGGCTTCGGCTTCACCAAACGCGAACAAATCGCGGCCCAATGGCAGGGGCTGTACGTTGAGGCCAATGTTCTCGACGCCGGCACTGACAGCCGAAAACATGGGGACACCCGTGGTTGGATTGCGCGGAAGCTCAATCTGTACGAGCAGGTCGCCGACACCACGCATGGCAATGGCAAATGTGAATTGGAGTTGCTCAGCAATGGTCACGTTCGGGAGCTGAGATTCGATGTCGTCAATGTCCTCGATAGTTACGTTAAGGTCTAGATAGACAACCCACAACGTGTTCCAGGTGGCAAAGTCAAAGTACTGGCGGCCACGACCCACATGAAAGCTGGAGTCGTATTGCAGAGCAACTGAATTGTTGATGTCTGCTCCACGCGGCGCATCGGGTTCTACTCGAGCTTGAACCGTGAAGATGACCTCTTCTGTCTCTGACACATTGCCAAAGTAGTATTGTACAATCGTCTCCTGGCCCGATGCCACAGGCGTCGTTGTCAGAGCACGTGGGCTACTTGAGCCATACACGGTGCCCTCATAGACAAGGAAACGACCAAGCGTCACGTTGACTGATACGTCATGGCCAAACGAGCGGGTCAATCGGACCTCAAAATCAACAGGCCCGCCTTGCTGCACGAACGGGTCTGTGAACTGGTCAATGTCGAGGGACAGCGTAGGCTCTGCCACAAGGAAATCAAGGCTGTACGCATCAGCAACTAGCGTTGCATTGTCAGCACCACTATACGTCAGCATGGTGGTTACGCGTAAGTCTCGCGTCACGGCGTTGATGGGTTCATTAAGAACAAGCATGATCAGGTCAATCCATAAGCGGTCCGCTGACGATCGCCTGTTGTCTGGACGATTAAAGCACACACCCAGATCAAGGCCAAATACGTTACCACCGAGGTCGGCCAAGCTTTGTTCATGATAGTCTGTGCAAGCCAAGTTTGAGCCCACAAAAATGTTGTGGGACACCAAAGAAACACCTTCTGTTGGCAAAGAGATATTCAACGAGTAGTTGGAAACACCCTCGGGCAAAATGTACTCGAGTCGCTGATAAATAAATTCGTCCACCGTTACTGAGAGATTTGCTGTGAAAGGGTTGGATGTGCTAACGTTGGTCATGTGCACAAGAGGCCCAGCCAGAGGAATGGCCAAGCCGGTGGCAGCTTTCACGTACGGACGGCCGGGGCGGAGGAAAATATCACGGCGATGCGAATCATAAGTCGCATTGAAGGCGGCAACCAAGCCCTCCGCTTTTGGGTGGATGAAATCAGTCACCACGGCATCAATTGTGATCCATGTGCGTGAGGCATTGGGGGTGAGAGTGGGGATGGTCACCTCTAGGTATTGGGGTCCTAGCTGCTCATAGCCGTCTGCAAATGCACCGACATCAATCGCCACGATTTCCACATAGGGGTGTAACTCGATGGACACGAGCATGTCATGGGCTGATGCCGTCGAGTTGGGCAAATGTGCCAGGCTAAAGCCGTATTTTACGATATCGCGCGCATCTGTGGGGTTCATGGCCATGGCGTCAACCGTTAAGAGGAGCTGCGGCTCGGCAATGGTAACATTATGCTCCTCGCGACGCGCCGTGGACACATCGTAGGCTTGGTGTGTGTAGCGAATTTCAGCGGCCAAAGGCAATTGTGCACCAAGGGTGTTCCTAGGATCATCGTCCACGGACACTACTACGTAAGCCGCGATAATATCTTTCTTGTCAGCGACATTGTCGTAAATGTTCACGCACGAACCAAAGTCCAAGGCAAGTGTCGTGTTTGTGGCAGTGATGGCCGGGGGGGACACGGAACAAATGATGTTCTCTCCATACTCGTAGTTGAAGTCGTACGCAAACGTGGCAGGATCGCCAGCAAAGCCAACCTCAACCGTTAAGTTGAGCGTCACCTCTGGTACCGTCACAAATGTGATCGTTGTGAATGTTTCATGAATGGTAGGGGCCCACTCGGGTGTGGCCAAGTCCGATGAGACGTAGGAACTAAGCTCAAGCGTGGGCTGATCGATGACGACAGGCACCGATGTGTGAGCTAGCGTATAAAAGCGACCTGGAAGGTCCGGGCGGAAACTATAGTTGGCATGGCTATCGTGCAGACTGTTAGTGATGCAGGTGACACTCGCCATGTCTGGCAGGATGCGCTGCAGAATGCGGGCAGTAAAATTGACAAAAAGATAGCCATTGTCCACCGTCAGCAAATCCAGCGTCATGTGGATGGAGCGCCTGTCTTCCGAGACGGTCAGGTCAGGGTTCATCTGCAATTCCGTAACATTCTCGATCACCAAATCTGGGTGGATCGTCAAGTTGACCGTAATGTCGTAGGCAGGGCCCAATGATGCTGGCGTGTGCGAAAGGTTGATGCCAAACTGGACAACATCGCCAGCATCGGCTGGAACAGGCGTATCTTCTACTGAGGCAAAAAGATTAAGCAGGGGCTCAGAAATCGTGTAGCTCTCCAAGATGCTCATAGTGGGATCCAACGGCGTCAAGTCTAGCGCCCCAATGCTGTAGTACACGGTGCCGTGAATGCCCTTTGACTCCCCGTTGAAGTTGCGAGGAGCATCTTGGGGGATGGCCTGAATCCAGACGATAATACGGTCTCGGTCATCTTCAACCTGGTCATAGAAATTGACGCAAGCGCCAAAGTCAAAGACGCGCGTGTCGCGTTGGAATGCGACGGAGTCCACCGGGGCGCCGCTTGCGTTGCACTGAATCTGGCTCCCAATCGTAATGTCGAAATCCAAAAACTCCCAGTCTGAATATTCTTCCTCATCAAACTGGAAACGGACTAACATGGTGCCTTCAGGCAGCGTCGCCGTGAGCTGGAGTCTCACTATTTCGTCGATGTTCAGCAGAGGCGGTGTTTGTGTTTCAGGCAACGACGAATTTAGCGTCTGAAGGACTGCAACTGCACGGTCTACCGTAACACGAGGCGCGTCCGTAGTGCGTTCATAGTCCCGTCCTGTGTTGGCCCAGATCTCGCCAGGATAGCTATCAAAATCATCGATCATTGTAGTAATAAGGTTACTATGATCAGGGACAACAGTTTGCAGCATACGCGCACGGAAGCTGAAATATTCCACCCCGTCGTTTGGTGTGAAGACAGGGGTATACCACGTGATTGTTCGGTTGTCCACCGCAATGGTATAGCTTGAACCCAATGAGCCGAGTTCACCACCATCCGGGATAACGTGTATTACATCATCAAGTTCTGCACGAACGTAAAGGTCAAACGCCGCAGACAACGGCGAGCCCGTGTAGGTCACGGAAAAGTTGAACGTGATCACATCGCCAGCATCGACTGGGGTCAACGGATCAGTGGTTGCCGCCAAAATAACGTCTGGTTCGTGCACGGTAACAGCTTGAGTATCCGAGTACTGCGTCGCATCGGCCGTCACACGGGCCGTCGCAGTAAGCACTGCTCCCTGCACCGCGAACGTGTCATCATCGACTTGGGCTACAACCTCGATTATCAAAATGTCGTTGCTGTCCTCGACGTTATCGGGCGAATTGCGAAATTGACCAAAATCAAACAAGATTGTATAAGGTGACTGCTGAGCAACATGCGTCCCAGCCACGAGACTCGTGTCGATGTTGGCACCTACGTGCACTACCGATGCAGTGCGGTAAGAGATTCCATTTGGTAAAGTTACTAGAACGTTCGTGTTTGCCTCCACTTCTGGCATGGTCACGCTGACACGATACACGACTTGCTCATGCACGTTCACATCAGTACCCAACGTTTCTGCTACAATGGATGTGTTGTGCAGGTATAAATCAATCTCTACAAAGTCCATTGTTGCCGTGATCACGTCAGCTACGTCGGGATACAGACCACCTTCGTTGTACTGACGTCCATTCAACGGAGCTGCTGAGGTTGGCACAGAGGCGTAGTCCAAACGAACCGAGGCAGCAATCACCTCTTCTGGCCGCACAGTTTCATCAACTCGTACGACGTAAACAAGGTATATCTCCGCCGAAGCCGAATTGTCCAGGTTCTCGACGGTAATCGTAAAGTAGGAGCTGTTGATTTTGTTGAAGACCCCACCTGCACCAGCAGTAACGATGGTCTGTACGGTTGCATCGTATACGTCATACTTAGTTGGAACATCGACATGGATGACAATCTTATAAGCCTGAGCTTGAGAATGGGTCATGTCATGAGTTACGCGCACCTGAAAGGTGACGTTGTCGCCCGCATCTGGCTCATATGGAGCCTGGTCATCAGAGATAATCACAGACAGACGCGGCTCAACAGCCCGAAATTGGCGTAAGGCATTGATGCTCACGCTGGCCGTGTTGAAGTCAGAGTCGATCGTCACGATGGGCCGGGTGATGGGGCTGGCCTCATTTTGCAAACCGCGATTCATCGGGTCATCGATTAAGCGAAGCACAATTCGATATGTAATCTGGTCGCCAGCATTGGGGCCGATCTGGTCAAATGTGTTTGTCACAACACCGTGGTCAAAGGTCAATGTTGTACCTGCAAAGCTGATGTCGGAACTTGACGCTAAGCTATCACCTGCGCCGGCCTTGGTGCTCGATATTTGGGAGCCAAATGAGTGCACCGTGGCTGTCAAAACTTCAAAGTTGATGGGAATGTCCAGTGTAGTCACCACATCAGTTTGAGACTCCGGCATGGTTAAGATGTAGTCAAAAGTGATCTCCTCCTCGATCGCCACATTGTACGGCGCAGACTCGGTGTTAGTATCCGCGTCGGCGCTCGTGACACCCACGTAAGACAGGGTTGCGCCATCGATGGTTGTTTGAAACGTATTCGAGCCCGTGTTTTCACGACCCGGAAACTCATTGGCTGAAGGAGCCGTATCCCATCGATAGTCGATGTCATGAACCAACAAGTCTTCTGGTTCAACAACTTGCAGTACTTGACCAACGACAGACGCATGCAAGCGTTCATTCAGATCCAAGCGCGCAACATAAATCTCCAGATGGTCAGCAAAGTGCTCAATAGAATCTGCACTTCGCCCCCCGTTGGCCAAGCAACTAGCAAGGGTCACACCCGCGGTGGCACTGTCCGTCGTGACACACCCCACGGTGTAATCGGGTTGAATCTGCGAGCGCGGATCAAAGGTCACTGTCAAAAGCACGTCATAGGCCTGGGCAGCATAGCTTGAGCCATCGTGATAAAGCGTGTACTCGTAGGTGATGTTGTCACCAGCATCCCCACTGTAGGATCCAATTACATCGTATGATTGCAAGTTCGGTGCTTGAAGTCCTAAAGATGTAAAGGTGTCTCCAGTCGTGTACCCGTCCGCAGTCAATGTCACACTGTAATCAAGCGTTGAACCACGATCAACAGTGTTCAGCTTGGACGAATCCAGACGAACAAAGGCATCCACAACCACCTGGTCGATGCTATCGGGAATCTCGGAAGGCACATTAGCCGTCTCACCAAAAACAAATACAAAGTTGTTGTCTGACAAAAGAGCAAGGTCGCCAGGACCAGCTAGGGTTGGGGCTCCAAGTGAAATGTCGCTGTCAACCGAGACGATCGTGGCATTGAGGAGGGTGACATACGAGTCGTCAAAGGTATAAACCAAGCTAAGGTTGCTGTTCCCCTCAGGCAAGGTAATGAATGTGCGGAATGCAACGACCTCATCGATATAAAATTGCTCGTCTGGCATAGAGTCATCGATGGAAGTAAACGAGATATCGATAGATATGACTGGCCTATCCGTGTCCAGGGATACCACGCTTGGGCTAAGGCCCGCGATACGTCCCATGTTCGACCCAAAGCTGACAGCGGCAGAGTCGTAATGACCGCTTGCTGAGATTTGGTAGGTCGAGTCAGGGCGTACTGCTGATCCAGGAAGCATGACGGCTTCCCAAGTGATGAACAAGAGATCGCCCAAGAGCAAGCGTGGCACGTGAATGAAAAGCTGACGGTCAACGTCCGAGGTGACGAAAAAGAGCTCATTGACGACTGGCTCACAACCAAGCACGCACAGGACTGATGCGCTGTCCACTTGAAGGCCGTCATCCAGCACCATGGTCAGATTGATATCGTACGCCACGGAATCAGACACTGGCTGATGAGATACATTGTAGTGCATGAAAATGCGATCGCCAGCATCGGATAAAGTGTCAGCAGGATTGCGCGCCACGATAGCGAAGGTATCCAAGTCCAACTCAGGCTCAATCACGAGAAACGGCAAAATCGTAGGGATGAGGACAGTCTTTGTATCGTACCGAAGCTCAGCTGTCATTGTGAACGATGCGCCACGCTGAACAACCAGTGAGTCTTCGATATTGAAATACAATCTGACAACAAAAGTATCCGTCGAGGGAATGGCAGCATCAGCAACATTGTCAAACACATTGACAAGAGACGAGGAAAAAGAAAGGTAAACTCCATTCTCATCACCGACTTGCATAAAACCCGAATCAAGCGGCTGAGCCGATTCAAGTTCGAGGTGCCCATCGTAAACGATAGCAAGGACATCGTCAACAAAAAAGTCGCCATTGGAGATGTAAAAGTCGACTTGAATGTCGGTGGTGGCTTCGGGAAGAGTGACCGTGACATCGATCATGACCATCTCTCCAACTGAAACGTTGTTTTGGAGAGTTTCGGAATGTGAGGTACCGAAAAAGGATAGAGTAGCGGTCGGAGCCGGTACCACCAGCACAGACCCCGAGTCCATTTCATAGCTAGCCACAACCGCAGGGTACGCCCGCGCAGACGCCTCCGTCAAACTCGAATACGTCAACGTGTTGTTGCCGACATCCGTCACATTCTCATCCGGCCGGATCGCCTGCACAACAACTCCGTTCCACGCCAGGTTCACCTGCTCAGTCACCAGCAAGCCCCGCGACAGCACAAGTTCCACCGTGCTGCCCACAAAGCTCACGTCTCCCGAGCAGTCCTCCGTACCCGCGCCCGTAATCGTACACGTCACGCTCCCAGACTCCACCGACATCGTCCCACAACATCGTACGCTGGCGCATCAGACACCACCGCGTGGTCAATCGTCGCCGTAAACGCATACACGTCGCCCGCATCCACAGACGCGCCATCGTTGCCCACCGGCAGTGTTGTCGTGCGCGACACATTCAGCTCCGGCTCAACTACCGTCACCTGATCGCTCACCGACCCGCTGCCGATCTCGGTGCCATCAAACGTCACCCGGCTCACAACAATCGCCGTGTCGCCACGCACGTTGCCGCCGTCCGACGCGGGCACGTACACTGTCACGTTCACGCGCACTCGGTCCCGCGCGGGCGCCAGCGCATCGTCCGTGTACGCGTTGGTCGTCTCGCCAAAGTCAAACGTAATCGTGTCGCCACTCACCGTCGCCGCGTCGCCCTCGTTCAGGCTCACGCTCGTAATGTCGCTGCCCATCGACTCAACAAAGCCACCCACGGCCACAAAGTTCGCCGAGCGTCCTGGGTCCGATGCCACCTGCACGCTCACAATAAGCGCACCCGCGCCATCCGGCAAGTCCACGTCCACGCCAAACGTCACCAGCTCCTCCAGTCCCGTAAACGGGTCGACCGTCGCCGCATCATTGCTCGACACGTACGCAATCGCCTGCTCCGGCTCTGTCGTTGTAAAATTTTGAAGCTCGGTATTCTTAAAATAATTGACTCCACCCATTGGTGCTGTGTCATAGGTGAAGCTTGTGTTGATACTATACTTTGTATTCCATCGAACTTCACTTTCTGGCAGTAGTTGCACATTGAAAAGGAACGAAAAAACCTGTGGGAAGCTGCTTCTCATCTCTGTGATGGAGAAAAACACATCTTGCAGATCTGCCGCCTCAACAATGGTATATGTACCATCAGGGCAGAGCGGACAGTCGAATGAAGCTGGCATCAGCTTGCTGGAAATAGGTACGGTCGACTGCAGATCAAAGTTGAAGGCATCGCCATCTGATCGAATAAGCGTGACATTGTAAGACAGGATGTCACCAGCATCGGCCAGGGTTGGAGAAAGACTGGTGATAGAATCAACATTGGCTTCCTCAATCATCGCTGTGATGTTAAACAGCGTTGTCAAGCCATCAATAGTCACATTCACCGTGACGTTGACGAATTGATCATCGTAAGTGTGATCCGGCTCGACAAGGAGCTCAAGGTGCACTTGGAGCAAATCAAACGAAGGACTTGCAGAAGCCGAGCGTTGTATAGAAACAAAAGGGAACTCAACTGAGCCAAGTGAAAGAGAGCCATTGCCGAGCGGGCCTGAACCGGCAATACCATCAGCAGGAAACTGAGAAACGAACGCGGAGTGAACGGAAAACTCTGGATCATCGAACGTGATAGAAACAAACACGTCGCCAAAGCCCTCAGGAACATACAAGTTTGTCAGAATGGTTAGCACCTCAGTCTTGAATAAAAGACCCGAATCAATAGAACCGAAGGAGGAGGAGTAAGAAATGTTGGAACTCGAAGGTAAGGTGCTCACGCTATCCGTCTCCTCGCCCAGCGAGTAGAATCGCCCCGCAATGTCGTCGTCGTCCGCAGGGCTGCTCTCAAACGTCGTGTTGGTCACCACATTGTACGTGCTGCCATACCGCACCGCGCTCGTAGGCGCAAGCGTCGCAGTCCACACAACCGTCGCCGTCGCGCCCTCCGCAACGCGCTCAATCCGCACTGTCAGCACCGTCGAATCTGCCCCGTCCACAGACGAAGCAAAAGCGCCCGTGCATCCGGCGCTGCAGATCACGCTCCCCCCATTCACGGAAAGACCCGTGTCATGCACCGCAATCATCTCAACGTCATACGCGTCCACGTCCTGGCTCGGCCCCGGTGCCAGCGTGTAGCTAAACGACACTACATCACCGGCATCCAGGCCGCTCGTCGCACTCGTCACCTCAACCGTCTGCACCAGCGAGGGCTCCCGCACAACGTAGCTCAGCGTCTCCGCCGCCGATACCGCAGGCGTCTTGCCGTCATAGCTCAGCTCCGCACCCACTTGGATCGAGCTCCCGCGCACCGTCGGCGTGTCGTCCAACACATAAAACTCAAACTCAAGCACAATGTCGTCCTGCGAGTCCGATGTCTGGTCAAACACATTCTGCAACGTCGACAAGTCCGCGTAAATGCTGCCCGTCACAGGGTCCGTCGTC